CATGAAGCTTAATTTGGCCATCACTAGTAAATAACTAGTATGCAAAAGTGTTGCCTTTTACAAGAGGCACCTTGTGACACCCACCCCCCCCCCCCCATTGGAATTACAAGTGGGTGTTTTCCTTTTTGTAAAGGTTTGGATTTCATCACACAGGCTTGACTATCCGAGTAGAAATGCAGGATGTGAACAGTCCAACCTCGATGCTTGGCTGTCTTTGGTCAGGGCAAGGGGAAATATTGGGCTGTTTTAATCAATCTTGAGTTTCTGAAATCTGGACGAGTCTTGAAGTCCATTGTAGTGGGGATCTACTCAACTCCCTTCATAAATTCCAAGAACTCTGCAGATTAAAAATGAATAAGCAGATTACATTTGGCAGCTTGAGAATTTACAAATGCTTGCTAGTTTTATGTATATGAGTTAATGTGGTTCTAGGGTTTAGTTTGTTTTGAATGTATTAAGTCAATGTCGCTTAAGCTAAAGGTGCTTAATATGTGCCAAAACATATCTCCAGTGAACAGCTGTTTGTGTGCTGATTTCTCATCTTTGTTTTGTTTCACTGATATGACTTTGGGCCACACTCACCATCATAATCAATCTTTCCATCATTGTTTTTGTCCCCATCCTTCATTAGCTCTTCTATGTCATCCTCTGTGATTGGTTCACCAGTTGCTTCCAGCATATTCTTTAGCTCTTCCAGGTCAATATAGCCATCTCCATTTCTGTGAAATAGGAAATGCAATCTTCAACTGTACCTTTTTGGGTGGTGATTATACAGACTGATGGACTTACTTGTCAAACATGCGGAAGAGTTCGGCCAGCTCCTCCTCCGATTTTCCTTTGCTCTCCTCCTTCATGCAGCGTACCATCATCACCAGAAACTCATCAAAGTCTACCGTCCCGCTTCCTGACAGGGAATACGCAAACTCAGCCTTGGTTTTCCTCCATCTGTAGCACTGAGTATGTTTAGCCCTTATACAGGTGAAGAAAGTCAGTGTTCCTAATAGCAGCCCTTTATAAGCAGGTAATATAGCATGGTCCCTACCATCCTCATCTACTTCATCAATCATCTCCTGCAGCTCCTCAGCAGTTGGATTCTGGCCCAGCATGCGCATCACCTTCCCCAGTTCCTTGGTGCTGATGCAGCCATCCTCCGCATCCTGGACGAAAATGTCGAAGGCAGCCTTGAATTCTAAGGGTGATAAAAATGAGCAACAGTTTCTTCAAGGAACTGCACTATATGGATTTCAAGACATTTCATATTTATTCCAGGGTTCCAGTGTGACTGCATTTTTTTTAATTTAAGCATAGTATAAGCAAATGCTTACCATTTTTCTGCTCTTCTGTTAAGTTCTCAACCTGTTGGCAATGAACAAGGAACATAAGGAAGTTTTAGTGAAATTAGTTTTTCCTTATAAATTTTGCAAATGTTTATAATATTCCACTCAAATTCCAGTTCATTAATTGCAAAAATATGGAATGTGAATCTTGGCTGTATATAAATCCATAATATACCACTACATGGAAACATTACATTATGTTTTATTTATTTATTAGACACATTTATTGAAAGCGAAGCACGACAGAGGCAGCAGGGTAAACCACCCCATGGACCAATCAGGATTAAGGACCTTGCTCAGTGGCCCAGTGGTGAATTCTGTCTGCTGACCCTGACATTTGAATGGCTACCTTCCGATAAAAGGTACAGCCACGTACCACCCCCACATGCTCTTTATTTTTTGTGCTGGTGAAATTATAATTCTATGAGCTATATTCAACACAATGTAGATTCCATAACGCAGATCCCTGTCGTTGGGGAGCTCAGTCTTAAAGCCTGAGATAGTTTCCCTGAATGGAAACTGAATAGTGTCTCTGCTGGAACCCAGCCCAGCACTGAGTGCATGGAGCTGTTTGGTCCATCTTGAACTGGGGGTCAGGTTTCTCCCTGCTGGTTTAGTCACATTGCTCTAGGGGGTAAACTGACAGCTGTTTCTAACAATCCTGCATTAATCCTGCTTTACTTCTCACAAGCATGGAGGTAACGCCACATAAGGACACACAAAGCCTTCTGATAGGACGATATAATTGAACTAACAATATTCTCCTTTTTGCACTGTTAGTGTTTCCTCCCTGGATGGAACTGTGAACAACTTTGTTGGGTAATCTCTGCTGGTTGTAAATCAGCCAGCTGACACTAGGATAGGACACAAGGACACTTATCATGCTTGTCAAATCCTGAAAACCAGTCCTGCTTAATTTAAGAGAAGGTCTATTTTTCTTACCAAAATACAGTTATGATCTTATCTGAGGAGAGCGAGGAAAATTCAGGACAGAATATAATAACCTCTTTGACTCTTCATTTTGGATTTGACTTGACCAGCTTAAGAGAAAAAGTAGATTTTTGTAGAAGTCTCATGAAAATGGAATGCATAAGAATCCATCGGTCACGCCGGACTGGTGGTAGATGGCTTGTAGCTCAGCTGTAACTCTGCCCTCGTTCATTAGGAGCTCAGTGTACTGCAGTGGTATCAGGACACAGCTGTGAGGACGCCGTTATAACCCAACACAGAGTCCTCCTGCCACACAAATGCTGACACTTACCGCTATACCGATATTTTATTTTTTGCATTTTATTGAAGCTGTAAGAAGCCTAGCTGCACTTATGCCTGGTTGACTCCTTCACTGTACGTATGTTTGTAATGTGCTATTTGCCTCACTTGTAAATCGCTTTGGACAAAAGCATCTGCTAAATATGTAAAATGTAAATATACAGTCCTAGACACAATTCCCAGCGTACTGCACTTACATGCTCTCATCATATGATATATATCTCTCTCCCCCTCATGCCCATGTCGGAGTGGCCCCCATCTCCACTCACCGCTGCTTTATACACATCATCCATGGCTCTTGGTTCAGCTTCACTCTCTGTTGGACACAAACTCCAAAGGGGCAGACGCAGGACAAAGGCCTCAGGTCCTGCCTGTCACGGCCTTTATTGTTGGAATGACATCCCACCCACTTATGCACAGATATAATTAGATGAGGAACTAAGACAAAAGAACAAATGGATTTGGCTGGACTGGGACTGGGGAATGTAGGGTGTTGACCTGGACTGGAGGTATGGGCGAATAGAAATCTCCTAAATACCAGCTATAGATAGTACAGGGATGCCCTTATCTGTGCATCTGCGCTATTGCTAAAGTCATTGACCTGGGATGCAGAAAATGGACTGCTTTTCTCTGATTTTTGCTGCCACGTGCTATAGAGTGTTATGTTGTTCGATGTGTCTGTTGACACGCTGTCATCATATTTGAATGACCTGCTGCCTTGGTGTCTCAGAAGATAATGCTGTTGCTGGGCAACCATTGAGGAGTGGTTTTGAGTGCAAACATGGCCATGTAGATATAGAAGGTCTGGAGGGTGCCTGTCCTCCCTGTTAAATAAATTTTGTATCTATCACATCGTTACTAATTGCGTGAACATTATGTGTAAATGTTATTAAGACAAATGCTGCCTGGCCCAGTGACAAAGGCAAGTCCAGCACTTAGGGTGTCTGGGTGGATGGGCATTGTCTTGATGACGGGTGTGCTATTTCAAGGCTATCCTGTGTCACGTAGTGCTCATGTCTGTAGAGAATCCTCAGCTGTTTGGAGGGGGGGAGGTGACCCTTCCCACAGCCTCCCATTGATACACTGTCTAAAGCTGCAGTTAGAACACCTGCCATTGTCATGTAGCAGTGCCACAAAAGACACAGGTCAAAGGTCACCCGCAGAGAGCATCTATGTCTGTAGAGGGACACTGAGTGGTCTATCTACCATGATGATGTTGACTGTGGTGGAGCAAAATGCAAGTGGAACATGCCAGTAAAAATCACATTCTTACATTATGTCGTTTAACCATTGAAGACACATTTTTAAAATGTGTTCTCACACATACATAAATTCCCATTGTACACAAACAAAACCCCCTGCACACTTTAATTTGAACCTTGTTTCCTTCTTAATTAAAAACCCCATGGTAAGCAGAGTGATGTCACCATTGGGTCCTGGGCAAGACCCTTAACTCCAATTGCTCCAGGGACCGTCTGACCACGCTATTTCAATTGTATGTTGCTTTTTTTTAAAAGCGCTTGCTAAATAAATTAAATGTAAATTTATGGATGATTTTGTCGACAAATGGACCACAAGACCATACAGGACCACCAGGGGGCAATCTTAGCCATTCCTTCATGTTTGGACTTTCAGAAAGGAAAAGAAATTTAGAATTCAAAATTAAGGCAGAATAACAAAATGCACAACATTAATGTGAAATCTGAAATTGATTTGGGCAGACAGAAAATACACCTGTTATCAGTTCCTAATGAGGGCGAATGACCTGCCTGTAAGGGAGAGACCGCTAAGGGAGAGGCCGCTAAGGGAGAGGCAGCTAAGGGAGTGCCCGCTAAGGGAGTGCCCGCTAAGGGAGAGGCAGTTAAGGCAGAGGCCGCTAAGGGAGAGGCCGCTAAGGGAAAGGCCGCTAAGGGAGTGCCCGATAAGGGAGAGGCAGCTAAGGGAGAGGCCGCTAAGGGAGTGCCCGCTAAGGGAGAGGCCGCTAAGGGAGAGGC